AAATCTAGACACGGCTTTAAGTTAACTGATATTCATTCTATTTGATAGCACGTTGCGGATTTGGAGGAACCTTCTTAGTCACTGGTCTTGTCGTTGGGTCCGTCAAGTCTTGGGAAGAGCATAATTATTGCTATCCTAATACACTATAGTTTGCATATCTCTTGTGCAACGACCTAACGCACAAATTATTGTGAAGGCCTTTTCGTATGGAAGTACATGATGAAGAGATTTGTAGGTCAATCTAACCAGAATACGTCTATTGATTCGCGCTGTACTGCAGCCATTTGGCTTTAATACATTAAGTTAATGCAAGAGCGTTCAGGTTGACGCAGTCCACGAGATATCCTCCAACGTTTCTTACAAAGACGGGCTGAGTTTTCGTTCTTCATGTGACGAACGTCGTCAGATCTGGGACTTATTCTTGTAAAAGCCTCAATTTAACACTAAATCAAGAATTTTGATCGGCTTTCTTCTTGACTTAGTGCTAACTTGAGGCTTTTACAAGAATGAGCCCAAGCTCTGACGATGTTTGTCACATGACGAACGAAAACTTAGCCCGTCTTTGTGAGAAAGGATGGAGGATATCTCGTGGACTGCACCAACTTGAACGTCGTATTAAGGCTGTAGTACAGCGCGAATCAACAGGCGTCTTCTGGTTAGATTGACCTACAAATCTCTTCATCACGTACTTCCATACGAAATGAAAGTCTCCACATCCATCTTATCTCATGAGATTCTCCGAAACCCTCATTTTCTTCGTATATCTAACTCACAAAGGCCCAAAAGTATCTTCATAAAATACTGCTTGGATAACTTGAACACTTTTAAGGTAATTGCTTTCGGATGGATGTGTTTGCTTATGCTCATGCCGCCTTTTCGCTCATCGACTGTTTTCAAGCTGGATGCAACGGGCTAGGATAGGATGAAAATCCCTAAAATTTTGATTATATTCCTGAAACTTTTATAGAGCGGGCTGCTTACCTAAGCCTGGAAATGCCGGATTAACTTCTTTATTAATCTTACACGTGCCAATAAAGGGCATCCAATATTAAAGGAAACTAGTATTCGCTACTACATGGTTGTTCATAAGCTTATCATGCATTTTAAATCCACTGTGACCTGCTTCATCAAAACGATGTCTGCGATCAGAAGGCATCTTGCATCTTTATGCGGTCATTTCGGACATTGGTGCTTTGACGAGATAATTATCTTTGGGCGAAGTCTAGTTATCATTGCCATCATTCCACTCCATATAAATGTTAATATAACGACATGCAGACTAAACATGGATGAAAAATTCGTCATTGGAGGTAGTGAGGAACAAACTTGTGCTTTGTGAGTAAAGAAAATATTGCATTTATTTACGAGTTAAGGGATAAGTTTGGCTTCAATTGGCTCAGCTGCAATTTTAAACTGGTAAGGATACTTTTTACCATCTCGCTCATGCAATTTTACAATATAACTTGGTTATGCTTCCAAGTTCCGGAATAGCTACCCCTCAGCAAAATTAATGAGATGAGAGCCACTCGTTTTTCACGTTATGATTTATCTGCATTTTAATCAATCGTACTTTCTATTTATTTTACTTATACCATTGAAAGTAGCAACATAAATAGGTGGCATAAAAAGGTGTTCTAAATAACTTAATCATAGTTTCACTTTCGCACGTGAAACAAATATCTGATGAGATGGACGCTATAGCTGCCTATAACGTGAGGTGTTTATCCTATGCAGCAATGTATTGGTGTATTTTCTCCATTCTTGAAAACTATTTGAAAATGAGCATATTAAAATAGTGGCAAAGCTTCTCATGTATTTAGGTTCAAGTACGATTTTATTCCTTCACAAGTATGCATAAGACAGGGAATAGACTATTTCTTACTATTCTATCCTTCATAAACGGTCCTAACTTTCTTAGTTATTGGTTTTACAATATATTATGCTTATATGCATGCATTAATAGCACCATTATAACAAATTCTATAACTTGTTTGAGAATAAGTACTACTAACAATTTCTATCTTCATTGCAAACATAATAAGCTTCCCAGGAAACATAATGGAGGTATCTGTGCTTAACGATCCCTCTCATGTACTTATTGCTGTGGTACATGAAGGATAATAACTTTAATAAAAAATATGCTAGGTTGCTGCATTAAATCGTAGATATGAGGACCGAGATGGTGTGACCTGTTTGTTCACAGTCTCCTTTAGCATCATAGTGTTGATTCGACTATGTTTTCGTAACTTCGTCGGAGCGTCAGGGATACTTTGTGGAACGTACCTAGTCCCGTGTCCTTTGTCATGGTATTCGAGATTTTCAGCAGTGGACCATTGACTTGGCATAATCACAAACGTTTCGCCGGCATCGTCAGTGGGAGTTGCCATCATTAGCACAGATTTTAATTTATCAAAGTAAAAAGTGAAGGTAATTCCCTTGACCAATTTTCTGTTCAACCGTTGTAACATCACTCCCTCCCCCAATTTTTGTTCACTCTTCTAGTGTCGCATCTCTTTTGCTCAACCCCACTTATATTGCCCATCAACTTATCTACACAATTCGGTGCTCTCATTTCCTCTAATGTCGCCTAAGAGTGTGTCGCTAGAAGTGGGTTTAGTAAAGCGTAATTATCTCCAAGACCGGTACCAGATGCCGTCTGCAGGACTCATGATCTACATTCTTGGTGCATCAAGAACCCATACATAGGGACAATATAACCAAGATATGTAGAGAATTAAAAACAAATGATCAAATAGTCCTACAAGCCGATAAAGGAGATGCCACAATGCTGGACGGGAAGGAAAATATAGATAAAAGTGAAAATATTTTCGGGGACAATACAACGTATCGATTACTAATAAAAGTCCCAACAGATAAAATCAAGGGGCATTGCACGAAATGCTGAATGAAATGCATATGAACAAGAAAATCGAAAAATGGACAATGAATTCACTCATACCAAGGGATGCAAGAGCCCTAGTAGCATACGGTTTGCTGAAGGTACACAAAGAATAATGGCAATAATCATTGAAACTGATAATCAACGACAAACATGGAGCGACATATAAATTGGCGAAATTTATCTGCCTCAAATTAAAGATAGTGAATGACAGATTATCGAATACAGTGAAGAACTCATACGAATTTTGCTAAAGGAGAAATGCTGAAAGGAAACGATTTTTTGGTGAGCTTTGATATACAGTCTATATGCACTAACATCACAGAAGAAAAAGCACTCATCGCACTACTGGAGATATAATGGGAAAAGCAAATGACATCCTTGAGGCACATCGAATGCGTATAGAGTCTCTAACTCGATTAATCAACCTAACAATAAGAACGACATATTTCACATTCAACCGCCGCATCTATGAAAAAATATTTGGTCTACCTATGGGCTCACCACTCTTACCTGTGTCGTCTTCATGGACAAATTGGAGGAGAATTTCAAAAGGTCGCCCAACAGCCAACAGTAATTATGCGATATTTGGATGACTACTTCACAGTTTGGTCGCATGGAAGAGAAAAATTAGACGATTTCCTGACCTTCATAAACGAAATCGATAAAAAAGCCAAATTCACCATGGATGTGGAAGAGAACGGACACTTACCGTTCTTGGATGTGGAGGTAATTCGTTCCGAGGAAACTCTCAAGAAAAAACTTTTTCGAAAGAAATCGCATCCTGGAATAATTTTTGACTTCTAGTCGAACCATACTTATGGGATGAAGATTGGAATACTACAGAGTATGGTCATAAGAAGCTTACGACTCACTGATTATGAGTTCTGGGAAGAGGAACTGCGAAAAATAACTCAGATGTTTCTGGGAAACAGATATTTAGAAGAAGCAATACAACACAACATACGGATGGTGGTGAACAGATAGAAGGACGGAGATTAGGAAAGGAAGACAAGTGGAGCAGAGGAATAACGATGGATATGTCTACCCTCCTGAGAATTATCTCGGAAGTTACTGCCAATACTAGGAAAATGAAACATTCGTATAAGTCTGAAGGTAAGGACAACTCTCTTCACCAGCTTGCCCACACAACATGAAGAAGTCAACAAATTGTAGTTCTCCGTAGTTTTCAGCATAAACTGCAAGGACTGTGAACAAAAATACATAGGAGATTCGAGAAGGACAATCAGCACAATGATCAAAGAACACAAGCGACTATTCAGAAAAATGGATATGGAAAGATTGGACATAGCTGAGCACATCGTGGGGACTTAAAGAGCGCTATCATTTATGTGCCTAAAAAGTATATAAACCAAACTCGACTGAGGTATTTGCCAGAGAAATTGATGATGTACCCTTCTATTCCGGCTAGGTAAAGTATAAATCTGCGGTATGCTTTTGAAGCGTCTTTAAGCTGCAGTGGCGAAATTTTGTACTAAAAGTTTTTGAGCCGCATTTTGCCCTTGACTGGCTGTTGTCCCAACAAATCAACTAAATCGAGGGGGTAGAAATTTGCTATATCTTTAGACAAACACTAAATATATGCTTGTTGAGGGCATAATGTAAATTGATTCTGACTAGCAGGAACTGAGAAAGCCACCTTAGACCCAGAATCGTGCACTCTCACTAATTCAGTTAAGCAACGTGCGAGAAATCGAACCTACTCAACAGGCGACGTGCACTCTTGATTTGACGCAACAAGGCAGAGTAGCCACTAAAGAGCAGGCCTGTATCAATGAACAGCCTCATATAGACTATCACCCACTCTTGGCTAAAATGTATGCCAGAAGTGGGAACCAACTTCTGAATTATCGTTTATTCTCGATCACTTCGGCAGCACTGAAATCCATAAGCACTCTGCTTCTCATCATCCGCCATTCTTTTGTGAAAGAACATACCTCACATTATGGAGTCAACAGACGAGGAGCCAAAGTCAAATTCATCAAGGGAAAATAAGCCCTGCTACCTGCTTCACTCCGACTTGTCGGCGGGACTCAGAAGTCACATAACGGAAGAGTTGGAAGGACAGTTGATTTACCTATCAATGGCGAGTCACTTTGATCGGGGTGATGTCAACATGCCCGGCTTGGCTGCCTATTTCCGGTATCTCGCGGACGAGAAGCTTAGTGCTGCAGACCAGGTGAGATTAGGTCAGACATGACGAGCGATAGGCCTCAAGAGAGTCTCCCCTTTTGCATCCTGATCAGTGTATCTTAGCGATATGTTTTAAGATGAACGAGAAAAAGTGATCTTATACTTGTTTTATCTTTACAAGGTATGCTATCTTTCTATCTATATCCCAAAACCTCGTAGATACAATTTAGTTACGGATCCAACGGTGACTTCGCAGGGGTAAAGTGGCTGGCGGTTTTAAAGGGAGACCTTCAGAAATAAGTTAAGAGCAAGTCTTTCCATAAAACTCAAGGAAACCGCAAGAAGGCCAGTATTGTAGTTTTATAGCTAACCTAATTATTCGAAGACATGAAGACCAAAATGGTGTGGCCTTCGGTATGG